CCAACTCTTGCACCGGAGGACAACTGTTCTAACCACTTGGTTACCGCCACCCCAATCCTCCTTCCTGTCCTCTCAAACCCCGCCGGTCCATGCAGATGACCTCTTGTCCTGAACCTGGTTCTGCTTAAAGTTTCTTCCTTATGAAAGAGTTTTTCCTTTCCACTGTTGCCTTCATGCTTGCTCAAGATGAGAGTTCTGTGATGGTTAAACTCAAAGCAGTCTGCTCCTCTGATAGTGTTATTAACTTAATTTTTATGTATATTAATGTTTCTGTTCAGTGCCCTGAGATGACTTCTGTCACTTGGTACTATATAACTGAATTGAATTGTACATTTATTTTATTTTTTTAGGGTTTTTTTGCAGACCCTCAAGCACTGACTCACGGATCCCCGGGGGTCCAGGGACTACAGTTTGAGAATCACTGGTTTAATTGTTTTAAGTTAGTTTGTTTTTACTCTGCTGAAACTTTGTCATCTTTTCAAGGGCAGGGAGCTACACATTAAACTTGTGTTTTTATTATGAGTATTGTCACACGTTGAGGATATAAATTATGTGAAAGTAGTAATACAGGTAACTCTTCAAAGGCCACAGCATTTTTAGTGTGCAAGTAGAAGTTTCCTTTTTGGATGAGGATTAAAAACACCTGTTTATGGAAAAAGTAGAACAGGTGAAGTTACATGGTCGTCTGTGAGAAAGGCAAGCAGGAAAAGCACAGAAGTGATGTTTTCTTGCTCTACATCAGGAGTTTGCAACTTTTTCGATCAAAAGAGCCATATTCCCCTTTGTTCAGTAAATTAAGTTTGTCTGGAGCCGCAACAATCTGGTACAACTGTGATCATCAACTGGTGGCCTGTGGAAAGTCAGTCAGAGAGGGTTTTTTCTGCCAGTAGGGGTGACTTTATAAAACTAAAAATATCAATTTTTTTAACATTTGATATTTGTGCAGACTGTTGTAAAGAAAGAAAAGAAGGTTTAACATTTTTGGAACATTTTTAAACAAAGAAGAATTATGCAGGCCTATGATTTTAATTTTTATTGTGGAAAATTAAGTGCCCAACTTTGAAGAGAGAGCGCATACAGTGAGTGTTCTTTACTCTTTGTATTTCTTTTACTATTCACATATTTGCAAAAAAAAAAAAAAGCGGGGAAGACCGTTAAAATTACCCTTTTTTTTATTTTTGTATAACAACAATAAAAATGAATTTTATGTTTTTGGTCAAAGCTTTAAAGAGCTGCTGAAGATGGACTAAAGACCCACTTGTGGCTCCAGAGCCGCAGATTGCAGACCCCTGCCCTACAAGCTCTAAACAGCCTTTATCTCTACATGCAGTAGTTGAGGAGAGGTGGTGCACTACTCTAGGTGGTGTGCAGCTCTAACAGAATGACTGGAGGACATTTCTCTGCAAAACATCAAAAGTTTCAAACACCTCAGATTTCCTGTTTCCTCTTCATTACTTTCAGTCTTTAAAAGGCTAAAATGTTCACTACAGTAATACACACATAATCCACATAAACAGCTAGATAATATGGAAGCAAACAAAAAACTGTAAGTACTGATTACCAAGTACCAAGTGTGGCATCTACCAGTATTTTATTTTAATTTACTTGAAATCCTCTTCCAGCATTTATATGCACAGCTTTGCTTCAAACTGATGATCTGTGGAGAGTGAAGCAGGCTGGACTTGCAAACAAATGTGAGGATAAAAAGTGTCTTTACTTCTTGTTTAACTGATGGCTGTATTGAGTATTTTAGAAGAGACCCTAACAGATGCTTAGTCATGTTAAAATGTTTTTTAAAACAAAAAAAAAAGTGTCAATATGCTGAATTTTACCATTTCATGATGAAGAATATTTAAGATATCTGATGAATTTACCTAAAGCAAAATTACAAAACATTTGCTAGATTTCAGTATGCACTTTTGACAGACTGTATGAATTTGTTACAATTACTCGTCTTTAGATAGGAGGAAAAACCAAGCTGTGATTTTAAAGTAGTTGATAAAGTTTTATTAAAGAAAAATACCAAAAAAACAATGAGATCTTGGTGGTGTGTGAATGACACAAATCTAAATACAAAAGACTCACAGGAGGAAGCCAAATGGAAAAACAAACTTTTTAATCAGACACTGTAAGATGAATAACTAAATTATGATTTTAAATTTATTACAAACTACACAGAACAAGACTGAAACAACATGGAGTTACAAGTATTCAACATAAGGTTGGTGGTGAAGTTCTTACAGGTATGACCATGCTTATTAAAATAAAAGATAAAAAAAACTTTAATTATTAAGTAAAAATGACATTTTGGTTAAACATGCGTTATCAGACTAATAAAAGCCTGAAGTTTTTAAAGCAGCGTAGATCCTCTGACTCTCTGCTGCAGCTTTTACTGTTCCATCGTCAGTTTTAATCACAGAGAAGATGACAGCAGAATACATCCATGTTTCTTCAGATTTCTAAAAGAAAGTAAATCAAGTGACAAACTATTCTCAAAGCACGTTTAAAACATCATTTGAATGTTAAATAAATACTTTACCTCTTGTTTTTCTGGACCACAGTTTCCATGCATCTCCACAGCAGCTGGATTGTGAAACAGATGATAAATAAAAATGCGACACATTTTGTGCAGAGACTATCCAAATGTTCTCTTACCTTGACAACAGTCACATTTTCTTTTGTGGACTGAACATGTGAGGATAACTATAACAATCAGACTTATAACCAAGACAGAAGACAGCACAAAACTGACTGGACCGACTTCTGGTGAGCACAAGCTGGAATCTGGAAAACAACACATAGAAAATAATTATTGTTAAAGAATGTTATGTCATAAATATAATTTTATGAACGCTAAAAGTTTGCCTTGATTCTATCAGGTGACAATTATTCAAAGCATTACTTACATTTTCTTTTAAATAAACCCCTATGATGCAGTTACCTTTAGCATCCACTTCTTTTTTTCCTTTTCCAAATAATATCTGTCCACATGTGGCCACGGCACAGTAATAAGTCCCATCATCAGAGGAGCTGATCTTCTTGGATAAGTCATAACGGCATCTTCTTTGAGTGTCAGATGTCTCATCACAATTAGGAGGTCTGTACCCATCGGTGTAGATCATATCTGGATAAGAGTTTTCTGACCGGGCTCTGAACCAGAACACACTGGAACCTCCTGAACACGTCTCGTCCTCAGAGGCCGAGAGAACCGAACACTGCAGAGTCTCGGAGTCTGCTGGATGAGCAGGATCCGATACCACCGTGTAGTTTGAAATCCTCTCAGTGTTTCCTAGAATAAGAATAATAAAATATTAAACTTCAAGGACTGATGATCAAATGTACAAATTTTGAAGAGGTTTATAAACTACTTTGTGTATTCCCACATTTTTTTTACATGTAGAAATGTGTATAATTTATTTAAAGCTGCTGTAAGTTTGAGTTTTTTGTAAAGTGTTACCTTTTATATACAAATAAATCCCACTCCATGTAGATTTAGTCCAGTCCATATGAGCGCAGTGATATAGTCCTGCATCTTGTTGAACTGTCCTCAAAATTGTTAGTTTGTTTATTTTTTCATCATTCATTGCACTAAATCTTGAAGCAGGAAATTCTGGCTCAAAGTTGAATTTGATGTTTTTTTGATACATCATAATTAGTTTCAGAGTTTCTCCTGCACTCTGTTTGTACCAGTGAAGCCATGTGATGCTTTGAACTCTCTCGGAAACAGCACAGGTCAACGTAACAGGATCACCAAGCTGAACTGTGACCACTGGAACCAAAGCATCTGTAATAAATAAGAAAGAGCAAATCATCTTTAAAGTTAAGTAGTAAGGAGTAATAGAACACTGAAGCATACCAATTATTAGGAACCTAAATGAGAAATTAGTTGGTCATAGCTATAGGTAATACTCACATCCCTGACAGAGCTGAAGTAGTGTTACCCACAACAGAAGCATGGTGACTCTGTGCTTGGCTCAACTCTTAATGTCTTAAAGGACAAAAGGAGGAGTGGTGATGGAGTGAGAAGAATCTGATTGGTTTTCACAGAATACATTCAACGTGCATTTTTCCTCACCTTCATTCACTTCTGTTGTGTCTAAAGTTGTTTAGTTTTTAATTGGCACATTTTTTTACAATGAAACTAAAATCTTTTTTTATTATTGTTACTAAAATATTACGTCATTATGCAACATTTTCTAATTTTATATTGAAAGTCATACTTATGAGTATTATTATTATTATTATTAATAATAAATATAACCTTACATTGGGAGAGTGGGTATCCTCAGGAGTTTCAGGCTTTGGGTGTTTATGAGTGAAGGTAGGATGAAGTGGAAGATGGATCAATGAATCAGGGTCTTGTACTCAGTAATGAGGATGTCGTTTCAGTCATTTATCAATCAATCAACCTTTATTTAGACAGGTAAATCCCATTGAGCCTCGAGGACTCATTTACAAGAGAGACCTGATTTCAACAAAGAAAGATGACAACAATGGACAACAGCAACAACAATAAACAGTTATAAAAAAGCATACTACAGTTTTTTTTTTTTTTTTTTTTTTTTTTTTTTAACAAATAGGATGGCTAAAAGGAAAAGGTAACAAAACAAAAAAAAAACAGCTAGACAATGTTTATGTGAAGAACACGCTCAGTCCAAAGGCAAAGCTGTCGATTCTCTAGTCTGGCTGTCACCTTTCATGCCAGAGATTTAAATTTAAATCATCTTATGTTGAGAAATCATGAAGATGTCATCATTTTTCTCTAAAATGTTATGCTCCGTCTCATGTATTTTTTCTGTACAACGTCTCATAACAAGTATTCATACGTTTTTTTGTTTTCTCTCACATTTGATATATTGTCCTATACTACCTTCCTTTTCATACTGGACATTGGTTTTGTTTCAACAAAATTCACTTTAAACCATTTTAAACACGTTCTGAAACTGGTTTTAGCTTAATTTTTAATGCATGAAATGCATTAAGGAATCATACTTTATCATTAGCTGTCACATGACAGAAAACTTTTTTCATTTTCAGAGCTGGATCAAAGTTTGGTGGGGTCTTTGAATAAATCTTTATGCGGGCCACTTCAATCTGAGTCCAGCATGTATGACCCAACTCGGCACCAAACATCTCATATTTTCTGTTCACTGATTTGAATATTCAACATCTAACATTTTTTGTTGATTACAAGAGTCAGAAGTAATACAATGAAAAAAATGTTTTAATAAATCATGTGTAGGAGAGTACGGTTTTCAAACCACGTCAACCACTTTATTCAATTAATAAAATTAAACATAAAGTCTAAATTTAACATACTTGGGCTTTTTGTTTTCACAGGGACTCTTTCTACATTTCAGAGATCAAAACTTCAAACAGACTGAATTAAGAATTGAAAATTCTTCATTTCACTACTTGCAGGTTACTTCAGTTACTGATTCAGTTACTTCCAGGAAGACGGCGCCGGTGTGCATGGCCTGCCGTCTGCCTCTGTCTGCTGTGATCGTGTTATTTCTGTTATTGTCATTTCTCATCTGCGACATCAACTCGTTACTGGTTTATCAACATCAATTACTTTTAGATCTTCGATTATCTGCTACCAAGCTTGCCTATTTTAACCACAATGAGCAGAGCTCTGGGCCTGCTCCTCTCCTGGTTGATGTACCAGTGGGCCTGAGCCGCGCTGCGCCCAGAGACAGTGCCTCAGGTGCTGGAGAAAACGTGTTGGGTGGCTGTTGAAGCTTAAAGCCGCCCTTGCAAGTTCTGCTATGACCTTTCCAGCTGATCATCAACATGTCCATCTCCTGTCCTGGCGCTTCGTGGATCCTATCATGCCTTGTTTGGTTCCGTTGGTGGGATCCAGTTCTCACAGTGGGCCTGTTCCCCACTGTTTTTATGGTTTTAGGAGTCACAGGACAAACTCTCTAAATTGGAGACCGCAGGTTTGTGCTCAGTGGTCATCTTCTCCTCAAGCCGTGGTTCCTACAAGGATGGCCCTGCCAAATGTCAGGTCCCTGGCTAATAAAACTTTCATCTTAAAGGACTTTCCTGTTTCAGTGGATTGGAATTTCTCTTTGTGACAGAGACTTGGTTGTGTGCTGGTGAGTTTACTGTCTTTTTGGAACTTTTGCCTTTCGGATGGCTCTTTTTTTAAAATGCTCCATTGACATTTGATTGAGGTGGAAGAATAGTGACTGTTTTTAAGGAATATTTGAAATGCAAAAAGCTCCAATTACCAGGTATTTTTTCCAGGTTTAAACTGCTTCTTTTTGAGCTGGGTCACTCTCAGCCAGGGCTGTGCACAGTCTTCTACAGACAACCCAAATACAAAGATTTATAAATTATTTCTGACTTTTTTGCTGGAATATTGCTCAGATATGACTGGGTTTTAATCATGGGGGATTTTGACATTCATGTGTGTTGTACTGAAAAGCCTTGGGCTCAGGAGTTGATAAATCTTATCCAATATTAACTTTGTGCATCGTGTTGTGGATCCCACTCATCAGCAGGGTCATACACTTGAGATTTAGATTTATCTTATGGTTTAGCCGTTGTTAATTTAGAAATTGGGGATGCTGTTTTTTCTGATCACAAAGTCTAAATCTCTCACTCCAGCCAGGCACTGTTGGAAATTTAACTCCTCCACTGCTGCCCTCTTTTCCTCCTCTAATTCTGTTACTGACTCTGGACACAATTTGTCTTACTACACAGAAGCTGCTCTCTCAGCATCACGAGTCTTGTCTTAAGACTGGATCTAGTGGTCCAGTTAAAAATCAGGCACCCCAAGCTCACACCACAGCTTTGATTAAATGAGACCATCCGAGCAGCCAGATGGCAGTGTAGAAAAGCTGAGCGCAAATGGAAGGAGGACAAAGTCCAGGTTTATTTTATTATGTTGAAAATGTGTTGGAAATTCTATCAGACCAACGTTAAAATCAGAGAAAAGCAAATATTTATCCCAAATTATTGCTCAAACAGTCATAATCCCTCTTTTTAACACCATTAACTCCATTTTAAGTGTCTCAGTCTGCCAGCATGGAGGCCTCTGATGTCACTTATAATGATTTTATCAACCATTTTGTTGACCAGGTCATCAATTCCTCACTCCGCAGATGACCCCTCTGTCATTGTCCCTTGATCCGTTGTCTTCAATTAGTCTGAGTTCATGGTGGTGGGCTTGATGTTTTTAAACATGCAGTAGTAAATCCATCCATTTAAAAAAAAAAATGGACTTGAACCTTCAGCTTGTTCAAATTTCGGACCAAGCTCAAAACTTCCCTTTCTTTCTAAAATCTTGGAGAAAATGGTTGTTATTCCATTAAATACGTTTGATAATGAGAATGTAATTTTTTTGATCATTCATTCTGGTTTTAAACTATTACACAGCACTGAAACAACTTTAGTAAGGGTTTGTAACAATGTTCTTTTAGCAAATGACTCTGGTCAGTTTGTGATCTTTGTATTCCTGGACCTTACTGCTTCTTTTGATACCATTGACCTCAGTATCCTTATATTACAGTTAGAACACTGGGTTGGGATTACACATGCAGCATTAGAGTGGTTCTGTTCTTATCTGAGTAACGGGAGATTTTGTGTTAATGTTGGTAATATATCATTTGCTTTAGCGCCTTTTTCCTGTGGGGTTCCACAGGACTTGATTCTTGGACCCCTTCTGTTTTCACTGTATCTGCTTCCTTTGGGGTCTATCCTGAGGAAAAACAGTATTTCATTAATGGTCTCTTTCATCAACATTGTTATGCCGATTGTCAGATTCAGCTGCCCTTAAAACCCAGTAGTTCATGCACAATTCAACCTCTGTTAAATGTCTTGATGATGTTAAGGCACTGATAGTGTCAAATGAATTTAGCATGCATGGCTTTTTTTTATTTTTAACAATCAGAAAACTGAAGTTATTGTGTTTAGCCTTAGCTCTACTGCTGTCTGTTCCTGTAAACCTTGACTCTCTTGAGTTATATCTTAAGCAGTCCGTTACAAATCTCAGGATGGTTTTAGACTCTGATTTGAAGTTTAATAAACAGAACTCTGTTCTCCAGAAATGGTTCTTCCAGTTGAGGCAGATAGCAAGCAGAACTGACCTTGAAAAAAACAGTCCATGCCTTCATTACAACCCAACTTGATTACTGTAATGCTCTTTATGTTGGGTCAGTCAGGTTTCCCTTTCACGTCTCCAGTTTGTCTAAAATGCTGCGGCTCGGCTCTTAACAGGAACTCTTAGATTTGATATTTCAGTAGTTTAATCCTTCCTTCACTGCCTCTCTGAAGATAGAATAAATTTTAAAATTCTCCTGTTGACCTTTAAATACCTAAATGGCCTTGCACCCTCATATCTCTCTGACCTACCATATGTTCCTTCTCGGGCGCTGAAATCATCTGACCAGCTGTTTTGGTTGTACTAAAAAAAAAAAAAAAAACAGATTGAAGCTCACTGGAGATTGAGTTTTTTCAGTCTCAAGCCCTAAACTTTGTAAAAAAAAAAAAAAAAAAATCAACACATACGACATTACAACACTGTTTTATTAAAATAAAGACTTCACAGCTTTAGCTTTGAATTAAATATTTATGTTTATATTGCAAAGGAGCCAGGTAAGGTTATGTAATTGTTTTTTTTTTCCAAATCTAAATCATCTAAAACTGAATCAGCAAATTAAAAATATTTGTTAAACCAAAATATTGTAAATTTTGCACACATTCACAGTGATCCTTTAACTTGTGAATAAACACTTTCTTCAGTTCTCAAGTCTCTCTTCTTGTTTCCTCTTGGTGCTTTCCCTCCGGAGAAATGTAAGGCAACATAATTCAGGTCTTGTCCATCTTCAGTCTGTGTAGAAATTTACATTTTTATCTTAAAGTTACATTGTCACACCAAGTACTAAACTCTCTAGTTTCAAATAAACAACTAATCATGGTATTTGGTGTCATTACTTACATTATTTAATTCTAGCTGGTTCAAGTCGTCGGGTGTTTTTTGGGAAGAGAAGCTTTCTGCGCACATTGAACAAACAAACTGAGTCTTTTGGATTCTCAATTGTGCTCAATAATAAATAAATTGCTACTAAGCTAACGTTCATACAGGTATCTGAAAATATATATTTCACAACATTGGACTGAGTAGTTGTTTACTGTGCTATACGTCCACCTTTTAAAGTTTTACATTTAACACAGTGAACAGCACTTACCTTTTGACTTCTCAAATGCAGATTTTTTAAATCGGTAACTGATGAAAACGATATTTACAGTCACAGAAACGGCCAGGCAGATTATTGTAACCATCAGCAAAAGAAAGTCAGAACTTGGCGTTTCATCTAGAAAAACAAAAGTTTTAAAATTACAAAGTTTTTTCAGGAAAAGTTTTTTGTTTGTGAAATAACTGGGGGGAGAAAAGCATTTGTTTAATTTCTCAAGTATCGTAGAAGCGTACCGTTCTTCAGATTAGTTCCATTTCCAAATAATATCTGTCCACATGCGGCCACGGCACAGTAATACGTCCCATCATCAGAGGAGCTGATCTTCTTGGAGAAGTCATAGCTGCATCTCCTCTCAGTGTCACGTGCCTCATCACAGTTAGCAGGTCTGCTCCCATCAGTGTAGAGGAAGTCTGGAGTAGACTTGTCTGATCTGAACCAGAACATGCTGAGACCTCTTGAACACGACTCATCTTCAGGGTCCGAGAGAACCGAACACTGCAGAGTCTCCAAGTCTGCTGGATCTGAACCTGTTGTCTGCTGAACAACAGTGTACTGGGATGTTCTTACAGTGTTTCCTGGAATAATGATTAAAAAGTCAAACAAATCAGTTACTTATGAACATGCAATAAAAAGCCAACAACTGTTGATTATAGTTTATCTGTATATTTTAAAGCAAGAAAAAAAAGTTTTTTTTTTTATTCTCTTGGGAAAATAGAAAAGTTCTGTTTTTATGAAAATAATCTTATCAGAGCCTAATGATAAATTTAATGTTTTATGCCGTTGCAGCCATGTTTAATAACCATGGATTAGATACAATTTCTGGTGTCAAGCAGACAAAACAATGTATTGGGTACATGTATCTGGTGCACAAATCTTTTAGAAAGTTTTGAATACATTTCTACTGTCCTAAAATAATTCAATATGTTGTCATTCTTCCTTTCAGTGGCTCTCCTTGCTGGGTTCATCACATCGAGAGGCTCAAAATGAGATATTTGTTAAGAGCGTCTCTCTTGCTCTCACCCAGGTTCGTTGGCCGGAGGGAAACTAGGGACGACTTCACTTTTATTATAACACTTTATTTAAAACAGGAAAGCTATGTTAACAGGATACAAACAGATCTGGAGAATTGATCAAAGATGTCAACGAACCCCAAAATGCAAATCAATTCTTAATATAACGTGAAAATACAGCGGGTTTTGTGCTGTTGGCCAGTCCCACCTCACTGGATTCACTGCTCTGACCTTTTGCACCATCCAACACAAGTTATTTTCCCAGGAGCTAAACAGAAGACCTTTGTAAATCTATGAATTTCATGGTGTTATCGCATAGGACCGAGGTGTTATCAGAGAGCTGCACATCTGCCACTTCTTCCTGCTGCATTCCTTCAGCTTTAACAAAACACGGCCTCTGTATTTAAGCAGGCCCTCATTATTTGTGCTGCAACCATTTGCCACTACTCCTCTATGTAAAATACACATTAATTGATCATAATTACTCATAGCAGTTGATTAAAACAGTTTAAACCGCCAACATATTTGACAACTGGTTTACACCTGATGCCATTCATGACACAACCTGGGCTAGAACTTGCAAACATCACGACTGCATGATTGTTGCATTTTCAAAAAACTTCCTGCTGCTTTAAAATTGCGGACGTCAGCAAAATTATTCGAGCAGAAAAGAGCCTTTAAATAAAACTTAGTCAAATGTTGCTGCTAAAGCCATTAAACCAAGTCATGATATCACATTATCTTTTACCCTAAAATTGAACTTTTTTTTAATGTATATTAATTATTTTTCATCATGTGCTTGCAAGTGGTTTTAAATGATAATGGTTAACATGAAAACTTAAGTTTCATATTAATTTATGTGGATAAGATTACAAAAAGTAGTCAAATAAAGTTCAGCATTCAGACACTTTTTTTCTAAGAGAAAACAGCTTAAAAAGGGAAAAATATTCTTAAAAATGTAACAACGTGCAGCTGAAGACAAACACTTCACGATGAAAGTATTTAAAGAATGCTGCAACCAAGAATATGAGTTACTCTTATTATCTCAAAAGTTGCACAAGAAGAAATGCCTAAAAAAAAAAAAAAAGACACTAAACAAATGAACCAGACTGATGAGCAGCTGCATTTCTGTACTACAGCTAAACCTAAAGTTGATCATCCTCATTAAAAAAAAGTCTTGAAGTTAAAATGCATTCACTTTACACTACTAAACATGTACAGACTTTGTAAGTATGTGAAAACTAAAAACATACCAGAATATTAACATTGCTTTACCTCGTATTGACAAATATGTTCCTGACCAAGTAGATTTAGTCCAGTCCATATAAGCACAGTGATACATCCCCTCATCTTCTTTACTTGTCCTCAGAATGGTCAAAGTGCTAACGTTCGAATGGAAACTTGTACTGAATCTTGAGGCTGAAATTCCAGGTCCATAAGTAGGGTTTGTATTTCCACGCAGCATTGTGATCAGTTTCAGATTCTCTCCTGCAGTCTGCTTGTACCAGTGAAGCCATGTACTGGTGTGAAACTTCTCAGTAAAAGTACATGTAAAAGTCACCGACTCATCCAGCTGAACTGTGACCACTGGAACCAAAGAATCTGCATTAAATGTGAAGAGAGAAAAAAAGTGATGTGAAACTTCAAGAAATTACAAAAAAACAATGAAATAATCTTAGATGACAATAATCGTCAACATCTTTACGTTATTTTTCTGAGAACATACCGTGTTTCAGTGTGTAAATAGTACTTACATCCTTGATGAAGAAGCAACAGTGTAACCCATAACAGAGTCATCGTGACACTGACCTCATTGAGATGCTTTATGCTTAAATACCAGAGGGAGGAGTGATGATCCAGACTGTAAAAAGTGCTTTGTTGGTTACCTCAGTACACAAAGTGCACTTCCTATACAACATGGTTTCACCCAAAAAAAAAAGAAAAAAAAAAAAAAACCAACACCTTAAGAAGTTTAAAAATCTGACATTATTATACATTGTATATTCTGAGCTGTCCCCCTAACATTTGTTCGTTTGTTCTAACTGTATCCTCATTCCAAAGTACCAACAAAATTAGGCATTATTTTAATTTTGAGTTCATAAAAGTTGCGAGTCATACAGGCAAAACTTTTGTTTATACATGCAAATTTCTAAAAATGCCTCATCTTTTGGGTTTTAGAATCAAATTTTCTCAATATTTGCACTCAAATCAACTTTGCACAATTTAGAGAGCAAAATAAAAAGATGGTGCATTCTTATGTTGAAATTCCCTTTTTTTTTTTGTTGCTTTGTATCTTTTACTGTTATTGTGTTTAGTTTATTATTATATGCATATAAGTGCAATCCCCCTTATAAATTTGAGGGGGGGGAAAACAACATATAAAGAATTTAAAAAATTACATTATTGGCCCAAGTACAGTTCACAGAAAAGTGGCCTTGAGGGAATGTACAGCCAGAGCAGGTCGGACCAATAATGAGATGAGACTATGGAGACTTTTTGTTTATAATGTTATTTCTTCCTACAGCACTTAACTTAAACTGAGTCCTGGACATAAAGGACACCAAGAAAGTATGCTGTACAGGTTTCATTTTGACAATTTATTTTTAAAAATGTAAAAAATTACAATGTTTAACCACAAGTTTTCCACTAGAGACATGTCAGGAAACAAAACGCATCAATTTGTTGAGCAGAGACAGTGCCCTGGCTGGTGGGACAGTGGTAACAGCAGCACAGATGTGTTGTACAGTGTTCACCATGAGGCTTAACTCCTGATTGAATAGTCAGCCTCACAAGCATGGCTATGCAGAAAGTTTTTTTTTTTTTTAAAGACATGACAAAAGGGCATCTACAGTAAAAAATAAAAGCCTTACATCATCATAATTAATAAGACCAGAGAAAATAAATATAAACATTCAATCTCAAATTTGTGTTTGCATCACCTGATTTGATCGGTCACTTCCTCACCACCTGGAAACCAGCCACAATTAATAGAATAACTTAGCTCTCTTATGAAATTAACATGGATTAGTGTCGGAGATACCCATCATAGCTGGAGAAGCATTTCTGGAAGTAATGAGATTTCTGGAGAGCTCTGAAAAAAAAAAAAAACTGGTGTAAATGAAAACTTAAATGCTGGTTAAAACTGTTATACAGCCAAACATATTGAGAAAATGTAATTTAAATATAAAAACTTCCGATGCATCTGCTTTTAATACCAAAGTGAAACTAACCTACAGTCCAAGGCAGTTGGGTATTGGTTTGCATAGATTGTTATTTAAGGGGTTGGAAGTTCATAAAGGTTCAGCAGTTGTGTTCATGTGAAACACTGTGTTGTCCTCTCCACTGTAGCTCACCACACGCAGATGCTCAGGACGGTGGATCAAATCCCCACGGTGGAGTAAATGTTTGATGAAATCCCTAAATTTTCCAGCTGGCTTATTATCAATGAATGAATAATTATTAGGAATGAATTGGCTTGAACTGGAATGTTTATGATTGGAGGTGAATTTTAATCAGACTCTGTTGGGCTAACATATAACTGGACTGAATTTAACTGTGTTAAAATGCACTGGACTTGTTTACTCTTTTGGTAAAGTGTCATGAACTGAATTAATTCAATTGAATTGATTTGACAGCGGAGCAGTAGTTACAACCTGCCACCTCACATCAAGCAGGTCACAGGTTTGCTGTCTGGAGCCTTTATGTGTGACGTTTACATGTTCTTCTCGTGCAGTCGTGGGTTTTCTCTGGGTACTATAGTTTCTTTTCACAGACCAAAATCATACATTTTTAGTTAATTTGTTACTTTAAAAATGTCCCTACTCCTCCTTGAATTGTCACCTTATCGTATTGGAGGAGTTTGTGCATCTGACTGATCCTAGGAGCTATGCTGTCAGGAGCAATTGTAATTGCCCCTGGTAGGTCTTCCAAGGTAGATTGGTCCCAAGTTGCCAGAGGAAGAATGATAATACTGCAGATTATTATGACCTCGGGACTCGAGGCTCGGTGTCCATGGCTGGATCTACTCTGGAGGGGCGGGTTGCCGGCGGGGCCTATGGACTCGTCGTCGCGGCCTTCTGGGGTTTCTTTATTGTGGTCGCTGGGGATTGCCTAGGGATTCCCTTTGCTTCCCTCTCTGGGGGGTGTGGTTGTCCCTGTTGGGGGACTCTTGGAGCTCCGGGCTTGGGGACCGCTGTGTGTCTGTGGCTCCAGTCTTCCCTGTGTTGCCATTGTGTCCTGTAGGGATGGGTCTGTGGGTCCCCACATCCACTGTTGAACATTTTTATGGAGAAACCTTATATAGTGACAAGCATGCTCACACAGGTGTTTAGATTCAGGTGTTTATCAGATACATGTACACTGCTGGCAATTCTCCCATGACACAAAGAAAAAAAAAAACAGATGGAGCAGCAGCACAATGGATGGATGGAATAATTAAAATTATAACCTCTGTTTCCTGTTTAATCTAGCCCATTCAGAATGTTGTTTAGGGAGAGTGGATAATATTGGTCTTGGGTTACAATGACACCCTGTGATAGACTTGCGACCTGTCCAGGGTGTACCTCGCTTCTTGTACAGTGACTGCTGGACATGGGCACAGACGACTCCCGCGACCCAAAAAGGAAGAAGCAAGTAAAAGATATAATGGATGGATTCCAATGGCTTGACTTTCGAAACCTTTTGTGGTGCTCCTGTGCAGAAATCGTGTTTCTCCCAACAACTCAGTCAATGGAGCACGTCAGTACCAAAGCATGAGATTCTTGTGGACAAATGGCCAAACTCTGTTTAGCACTCAAGCATAATCTAATTGAATGGAGAGACGTATCAAATTATATAAATATGAAAAACAAAAACTAAAAGTTTTCTATGCGTGTTTCTTTCGATAGAGTAT